ATTCATACTTCTTCTGGTATAAAGATTTTGAATTAATACATACATTTTCAAATCGTAGCCCATTTGTTTTACCGCAATTTAATGGTCCTATTAGAAGGCTGCGTATTGTATCAGGCAAGTGACGACATCTCGCGGTGACTTAGTAACGCTCCAGAACATACCTTGCTCATCTACATCAGTATTTCATAAAAATATAAATTTTATTCACGAAAATAAAACTACTGATAATTTATACTAAAATTATTTCTAATTTGTTTAATGAATATTTCTTAAGAGCTCTTAGGAAACTTTTTGATAACATTAAATTCTAGCTCTAAATTAAGTTCTAGCTTCCAAAAAACTGTATTAAAAAGTTCTTAGAGCAAATAAGAAATCATTTACAACTAAAAACAAATCAAGAATAAATTCCAAATTTACTGAAAATGGGACTAAACAAAAAAGCTGAATTACAAAGAGAAACAATTTTAAAACTCTTTGAGTTATTTTAAATATTATTATTGTTAGTGTCAAAATACATTTTTAAAATATTTTTTTTTCATTTTCCAATGTTAAGTTGACTCTATTACAAATAACTTTTCCTTATTTAAATTAATAGCATAGATGTCCTATATTTACTTAAATGTCCACTATCCGAATTGGACTAATAATAACGGAGATCGACGTTATAAAATCACAGGCAGGACTGTATTATCAATCTATTTAATATTATTACAAAAGGAATAGCAAAAATAAACTATTTAATCGCAATAAACCCCTTAAAAAAATCCCAGCACCATTCGTCCACTAGTTTCAGTTTCACGATCCTTAATCGTCCTTTCTGACTTACGGGCGATAAAAACTCCCGTCCAAGTGAATTTCCCAGCCCCATCCTGGACTCGAGAGTCGATGTAAACTAGCCCAAGAAAGGGAGAAAATTTGTAGGCTCTCGTGACGATGCTCTCGAGGATTGAGGGTCGACAGTTGAGGTAAAGCGAGTGGATGGTTTCCTTCTTTTGTACACCGAGCGAAGCGGAGGCGGCGCTGCATGAATAACAAAAGAGGTGCCGCGAACGCAGAGGCAGAGCCGTCCTCCGGGGGAGGAAAAGAAAGGGACTTTTAAAACAGAAGTTGAAAATTATATAATATAAAGACAATTACAAACTTTGGCAGCCAGTTTCTCTCGGAGTGTAGAAGGCATAGTCTGTTCAATACCAAATGTATAGTACTAAGAACGAAATGATTATACCAATTAATAAACCCTGTATATGAGACCCAAGGCTTTAACGCAAACCCAGTTACAGTGATTAATTTCACTAGAAAAACAAAATATAACAAATAATTGTGATTACATCGTCAACAAAGTTGACGAACGTAATAAACAATATGAAGTTTATTTAGGACAGAAAATAATTAATAGACACAGTCACTACCAAAATATACAGGCTGTTTGATTCAAAGTAGGCTCGTATTCTAGTCTGCGAGGAGGCTACGTAGGCTATTTTAGGAAGGTACACCCTATTTACATAATTTATTAGAATACAAGCAGAAATATTACATTGTGTTTTAATAGAAATATGTATGTATTAAATATATAGGGTGTGCTCTACTTTAGAAAGATTGTTTTTGAATTACTCGTAATATAAAGGTGATTCACAAGTAAATGGACATATTTGACTGCAAATACAATGTATTTAGGAGATTACAAATGACCTATGGCCACTTGGTTTGGTCTAAGACACTTAATAATCAAGATATCGATTGTATTATTGTTTTTCTGAGTATATTCTTTTCTGAAATCGAGTTTTAGTGAAAAAATCTAAATTCCTTTGGCCATTTATTTTTACCTATGAAGAAAAAATAAAAATACACAGTCTGTCATGTAGGATATTGTTTAATTTAAGATCCCAACGTTAAATAAATATATGTAAAATATATTTAAAATAAATAAAAAATCATAATGATGTATACACAACAATAGATCCTTGACAACCGAAGTTGTTAAACATAAATTTTACCTTTGTCATATAGGGCGACAAGTGTGTAACGTCTGTGACGTACTAAGGTACTCATAGTCAACTACTGATAATTTTTATTAAATTGAAAAAAAAATGTTTCTTGAAAGCCTTTAAATGTTAAAAATTGCTACCGCGCCACTGAAAATATGTTCGAGGCGAACGGAGGTTTTGTAGAAATTTAAAATCTAGAGAAAATTCCAAGTATAAATTCGCTGACGGCTTTCTAATACTAATCTCAGAACTCATTATCATTTCAAGAAGGATTTCCTATTCTCCGCACTTTTATATAAAATATGCACTTTTCTTTCGCTTGCTTTATCACACTCCCTTTCTTAGTGTTGAAGTTCTTAACTTTGGATGTGGAATAGACTCATAATATGTAAGCAGTTGAAGAGAAATAACTCATTTTCAAATTTGTATTATTACACGATCAATAATTTTAATACTTTTACCTTTAAAGCAGCTGAGCTAGGACCTTTAGGACCCTATTCCTTCACATACATCATTATTAACAGAATTATTCAAACAACACTTCTACTTTAATTTTAGAGCAGTACCACAAGGTTCAGACCCAGGACTACTGTTATTCCTTGTTCTCAAAATGATATTAACATTTCTCATGCTTCTATGTCTAAAAATGTAATAGGTATATGTATATATTATGTTAATTTCAAATATGTTTATTTATTTCATAACTGTCATTTTGACATGAGCTACACGTTGTCTTGTCAATGTAAATTTATTTTAAACCCTACGTTGCATATGATGAATTTAGTTTAATTTTTACTTTATATCCGCCTAGCTAGATTTATTGTTGATGAAATATCATTATTAGATATGCTTTATTATATCTTTAATATTATATACTTGATAATAAATAATTTACTGTTATATATGTTTACCTTTTATTTCAACTCTTACCTCAGGATTAGTAGCAGGTTCATTTACTTTTTCAGTAACCCTCGTAACAGAACATTGAAATTGTTAACATAAAAAGTAATTTAGCATATCGATTATTACAGATAGAGAAAGGTAGACAACACATAATACATTTATTTTAAATGGAGAAAAATATTAACAGTATTAACATTAACTACGATTCCTATGGGAAAATAGGTTAAATATATGTCTAATTCATTCATACTCAACACTCATACTTGCCTAGGATGACTATAAAACTTAAAATTAATGACAAAATTTAAAAAAAAAAAATTAAGTTGGCAATATGTAAATGGCAAAAATGTCTATTTGCAATCACAGGTCATTGGCATGATCGTGAACCTCCAAATATTTTGGCTTTTTATGATTGTACAAATGGAATACAACTTATTAAAAGTAAAGAATAATTATGCCAATAATTTAAACCGGTAAGTAATTTAACTAATTAATTTGGTACCTTTTAAGTAGAAGTTCAAACTCACATTTATGAATCACTTGTTCTTTTCATTTTGCAGGTTAAAAATCCATGATCCTGGAATTATTCTTAGATTAACTTAAGGAACTTCAAGAATATCTCAAAATGTTTCAAAAGACACCTCCAATCGTCCAATTCTCCGGCTTGTCTTCATGACGTCACAGGTATGTTATAATTTTCACTTTTATTATGTAAATTTTACATTTTTGAAACGTTATTCTAGGTTCTAGATTTAAATAATTTAAACTGGTAAGTAATTTAACTAATTAATTTGGTACCTTTTAAGTAGAAGTTCAAACTCAAAGTTATGAATCACTTTGTTGTTCTTTTCATTTTGCAGGTTAAAAATCCATGATCCTGGAATTATTCTTGAGATTAACTTAAGGAACTCAAGAATATCTCAAACTGTTTCAAAAGACACCTCCAATCGTCCAATTCTCCGGCTTGTCTTCATGACGTCACAGGTATGTTATAATTTTCACTTTTGTTATGTAAATTTTACATTTTTGAAACGTTATTTTAGGTTCTAGATTAATATTCACTATTACTATAACAATTTTAAATTGTACTACCTTTCTGTAATAAGTTTTGCATTAATATTTCTTTCTTTTTAGAGAAACGAAATTTGCGTGGCATCTTCAACAAAAAATTCTTCTATACTACCTTTTGTTTTATCAACAGAAACAAAAGAAAAATTGGATCCAACGGCTTGAAATTATATTTAACCAATCACAACAAAAGTCTTCTGGTTCTTTTATATTTAATTGATTCTCTTTTAATGGTGAGTTTATTTTAAATATTCATTAAATAATTTTTCGAACAATTTCTTTTAAATTTTCATGTCTGTGTTGTCAATTTTAAGTAATTTGAATTTTTATGTCACATAATTTTAGGTTGGTACCTTGTTAGTTTATTTTTTTTAAGATTTAACAACCTTTTTGATATACAGGGTGTTAAAATTTTAACATCTATTTTTTTTTAATTTTGTGTTGAATCTGTATTTATTTATTATAATTAATTACATTTTTAGATTATGATGATGTTCATATGCCAAGGATTACTGGAATATTGTCTGCTGTTAATATTTTGTTGCCTGAAATGAAATTATAGCACCCTTTTGTTGGATTTACTTTAAAATATAAGGTCAGTTTCCTTTTTCTTTACATATATATAACAATAGATTTATTTATTATATTGGCTTCGCTATAGCCTTAATAAATATTTTAAAGTTTTCGAGAGATAATTGTGTGTCATGGTTTCATTTTATCATACTCGCATTTTCTTTACATTATAATATGTGATCTAATGTAAAAATTAGAATAAAAAATCTTAGTTAACTCACAATATTTGCACAGGGTAAAGGGCAAAGGTCTTGAGAGACTAATAATTAATTTATTTATTTAAAATAGGAACCCAAGAAAATATTAACAGATAAAAAAATAATTAAAACAACAAAAATAAAAGAAATAATTTATTATTAAAGATTTTCAAATATGTTTCAAAAATGGCAATGCTTATTTGTTGCATATACAGTAAGTGACCCTCTTAAAATACCATGTTGATGTAATTTTCATACAGGATTACGTACTTACCCCAATGATCTGATTCAGTTCTGTCATGGTAACTTGTTTCGCCCGTTCCACAGCTGTGGCTACTTGTTGTTGGTGTTCTTGTGACAGGAAAGGTAGGATCTGTGCTATGATTGCGTTCAGTCTCTTGGCGATTTCAGTCTGAAACAAAAAACAATCGATTAAAATTTATTCCTGGAGAACAAGCCTGGTTTGCAAAAGAAAAAATCATCTTCCATCAAGACAATGTACACAAAGATGCTTTGGCAATTTCACCCTATATCTATATACAGTGGAGCGTCGATAATCCGGATTATTTGGGACTGGACCCGTCTGGATTATCAAAATGACCGAATTTTCGAAAAGAACCCAAAAAAGAGGTCGTTTGAGTTCATAAAAAAAGAAAAACTTGCTAAAACCGTTAATAATTCACTTTTGTGGTTAAATACTGTAGATGTAATGTACAATATGTATTTACAGAATACTGTACCGTTTATACATTTTGTTGGGGTTAAGGACACCGCCTAGCCTGTCGCAAATTAAAATTAAATTAAAAATATATATTTTTTTTTAAAACGATTTTTCAAATCGTATTATATTTTTCGTATCAACGTTTTTGTTTGAAAAATATGTATGTATTTATACATTTCAACTTTTTTTCACCCGAATTGAATCCTGATTATCGACGGTGCGGATTTTTAACGTCCGGGTTTTTGATTGTAGCATATTTCTGGTAGCCCACCTTGTATTTACTATCGTTAGTTTATTGAAACACCATTATACTACTTTATATACGACTAGCATTGATATTGAATAGCATGAGTTGTGCGATAACATAAAATCCCATTAAAAGTAAATCACGTGCAGCTTGTAAAAGAACGAGATAAAGCATTAAACGATTTTATCGCTTTGACAATATTTTCGTATTAAACTCTTATCGGAGTAGTAAAATGCCATAAGAATTTTATTCGTTTTGAGCTCCTAGACAATTAATTTAATTAAAATCTATTTCTAAGAAAATATTAAAGTATACATGTATATTTAAGCTGATATTTTGACTTTCCTTGTTTTTTAAGTATATTTCTATGCGATTTTGAATGTTTTTAGATAGTGATGCGTAAAACAATACAGTCGGAAAAAGGAAAAGATTCCCATTTAAATTTCAAATGATGTAATATGTAATTTTCATCAGCGTTTCATTATCATTGATAAGCAGTTTTTTAAAGTAAAATATACAGTCCACTGATACCGACTTTCGCCGATAAATTTCATATTTTATTATATTCCTTATTAAATATTTTTGAAAAAGTTAATAGTGACTAAATATTGTCGTTGCCCAAGATCAAATACAAACAAATTATAAAAAGAAGAATTGGTAAACAACTGGTGAAATATTTATTTTATTTGACTTCTAAATCTTCCCCTTCACTTCCCATTAAATGACTAAATTAATCCTCGATTCAAATCTACTAAATTTCCGAAGTCTCTAGAAACCGTCCCAATATCGTGAAGTTCTCCCGAATTCTGGACAGGTCGCTGGAAGCAGCTCGTGCTCGGAATACGCCAACGGGGAGGAATTACGGGAATTATCAAGCGGGCCACGTACCCGACCCATTACCGTGGTGGGTTTACCAACGGCTGCTTGATTATCGTATTATCGGGGTATATTGTAGCGCACTTGATGCTCCAAACATATTCATTTGTTCGATTCTGGAGAAAAGTTTTAGGTATGGGAGCGGCATACCTGAAAATTTTATTTTTCATTAGTGTCAACGTTGGGCGCCAAAAAATCAAATTTTAAAACACTTAAAGGTTTACATATTTTAATATTTTTGTACTAAAAATATAAAATATAAAATTGCTCGAAGATTACCAGAAGCAAAGTGAGATGAAGTTAAAAGTATTGTTCGAAAAAAGGAGGAAGACAGGATGATGGAATCTTTTACCAGCCCATGAGTCTCTCCGGTAGTCCTGGTTCAGTAAGTAGTAAGTAGTTCCCTACGAGGTTTTGTGTGAACTACAGTCAGTTGAACAGTGTTACCAAGAAAGACAGTGATCCTCTGCCTCAAATAAATGCTACTTTGGATATATTTGCCGAACGTATACTGTTCTCTACTTTGGAATTGAAGTCTAGCTATTGACAAGGTAGAAATAGACCTAGAAGACAAAAAAGACAGTCTTTACCACAAGACATCTGGAAAATGTGTTGAGATGGTTATCCTGGAATCGTGTCTGAGAACTTGAATGTTTTTTTTTAAAAACTTAAAGCTGTCCAACTAATCCCAATCCCAATAAATGTCAGTTGTTCCGAAATAAAGTCCAGCAGTCAGCAAGGAAGGTGTGAGTAAGGAAAAGTAGCTTTGATCAACATTGGCAACAACTAACTGATAAATATCAAATAAAAAAATTTCTTAGGCTCTGTACGTAAATCGCAGATATTGCTAAGCCCTTAACGTGACTTACAATAGAAGCAAGAGAGTTCTGCTGCTATTTTAAATATTTTAGAACAGAATATAAGTCGCTCATTCTTTTATGACAAAATTATGCTTAATTTTTGATTCAATTCCGGTATACCATTTATAATTCCAAAATTGATTAGTAGGCAGAATAAATAAGATCTCAAACATTAGATTATAATATTGATTGCTCGCCTGCTTCATTTAAGTTTAACCCACAAAACGTCGTCGGTAAATACCCCGAAATTAAATTTATATCCTCGACCCGCAGCAGTCATTGCCCTAAATCTCTTCCTACGTGCTTAGGTAGGCTTCCCGCCACTTGATAACACCACCAGATAATGTCCCTTTTCCCTTTTAGCCATCGCTCAAAAACCGCAAAGTTCCATTAAACAACAAAATTAGAGTCTCGCCCATATTCAAATCAAGTCTCCAAAGGCGTTTAGCACAAATGTAGTGCAGGGGCTATTCGATGTTTCGTTTGAGTTGACATGGCGCAGTCAGAGAATTTTTAATATTATATATGACCGATGAAATACGTACTTAACTTGAATCAAATACAATACAAATGGAAAAAACAGTGTCTACAAATTATTTGATTGAAAAAACTTTGATTATTACAGTTATTTTTTTTTAACTAGCAAGTAAAATATTTTCCTAAAATTATGTTTTTTAATTACCTCTGTTAAATAGTTATTTTAACACTTAACACCTTCATGCATACGACATACGACATAAATGCTACCGCCACAGTCGGCGCTTCCTGATTAGGAATAGGGACTATTTCGGGCCACTTTGAAAAATAGTCCATAACAACCATCAAGTATTTGTTTCCCCTTTCCGTTAAGGAAAGTGGTCCGAGGATATCTATGATAATTCGCTCGAAAGGCTCTCTGGAAAGGTACTGTGTCATTTTACCTCGAATTCTTGTTTTGGGCCCTTTTCTGCTATTACAAAGGTCACATTCCTTACACCAATCTTTTACATCCCCTCGACAATTGACCCAATAAAACCTTTCCCGAACTCGTGCAAGTGTCCTTTTAGTACCAAAGGTCCTCCTGAACGGCTACTATGACAACACACTTCTACCTGTGATTTCGGCAGTATCACTTGGCGGACTACAAGTACTCCATCGGGGCTTTCCCACTTCCGGTGCAATATGCCATCGCGAAGATACAGGGAATCCCACTGAGTCCAGTACCTTTTAATGGTTTCACTATATTTGACTATCTCTTGCCATGTAGGTCTGACTCCATTTTTGAGCCTTTCTCGGACAACCTTCAAGTCATTGTCTTTCTTTTGAGTCTTCCTTAGGCTTTCAAGGGTGCTGTGTAACAGTATATAGTCTATTATATTCACAATATATAATTCTTCCCTCCACAAGTTAAAAGAAATATGGACGTATTTTGCAAAATATCTTCTGTGGGATTTTTTAAATCAATTTCTTTGTTTTCTTTTTTAATTCTATATTTTCTTATCAATTGTTTTCTGTATTTAATTAGTATCATCGTAGAACGATCGCATCGACGAAAAACAGACAGAAATGTCATTTACAATAACAAAAAACATGCGCAGTACAATTGCCAAAAGGGCCTAATTCTATATCTCCGTTACTATTACATCGATTTTAATGGGACAAACGGCATTTAACGTGAACTATCATTTAGATGTCATTTATAATAAAAAAACATGCATAGAAGCATTTTTAATAGGACCTAGGCCTATATTTTCGTTTTTACCGGCTCGATTAAACCGGTGCAAATGTCATTTTAATAAAAAAATGTCATTTAGATATTATTTACAATAAAAAACCTAATGTAAAAAATAACGAAAAGATATTAATTGCAAAAGAATTTAAGCCTCTATCATTGCTATTATTGGTCCCAATCGAATATAATTTATAACACGGTGTACGGAGTTCGGCTCCCGGCCTAAAAACAGAACAGAGGCAACGGCAGAGCGAGATCAGAGATTAGACCGTCTCCGAACAAACACGTGATGCTTACATATGCAAACATGCACGGGGTAACATCGGGATACGCAGACCGTGCCGTCGGCAATTAACACACCCTATATTGCCGGCCGACCCTCTTCAAATAACTCTTCAGACAGCGTTGCCGTCACTTCAAGCTTATTCGGATATAACACGTGAAGCTTTGGCGGAGCCGGTGGCTTTTTGCGACTGCCTGTGTGATTAGGGTGAACTCTCGGGACTAAGTGAAGGGAGTTTTTACTGAATGATGGGGGGGGGGGGAGGGAGTTATGTGACATACCCAGACCTGTGTCAAATGTTTTTTAGTTAGATACAAACGAGTAAAGTGGTTTTGTGTTTTCATTTGCTGTAACTAGTGTTTTTAATTTTTTTTATTGAAATTTAGGATGTATTATTAATATACAGTTCTTAAAGTTATGTTAAAATGGTTTAAATTCAGGTATGCAATTTTTTGGGTCACGGCAAGCGTCAAACTTTTGTTGTGTCTGGTTGCAATTGGGTCTCTCGCTGTATACAATTTATATAGCACTGAAAACATTAAATTTAGCTATAACGCTGGACCGAATAAGTTAATACAAAAAAATGTGACATTTATAGTATTCAGAACCTTTAACTTACACCGATTTTCAAATAAAATTGACCAAAATATTCTGTGTTCCAGAATGAATGACGCCATAATTCTCATTTTAAAATATTGGGGCTTATTTTGTCTT